TCTCGAGAAGATAAAAATCAACAGACCTTTAGCCAGACTCATCAAGAAAAAAATAGAATTCAAAAATAAAAAAGTTACAACTGACAGAAATACAAATTATAAGAAACTACTATAAAAATTATTTGCCAACAAATTGGACAACCTAGAAGAAACAGAAAATTCCTAGTAACATACAATTTTACAAAACTGAATCAGGAAGAAATAGAAAACATGAACAGACCAATTACTAGTAATGAAATCAAATCAGTAATGACAAAACTCCCAACAACCAAAAGCCCAAGAGGAGATGAGTTCACAAGTGAATTCTACCAAACATTTAAAGAAGAGTTAATCACTAATCTCCTAAAACTATTCTAAAAAAAAGAGGAAGGAAAACTCCCAAATATATTCTAGAAAGCCAGCACTATTGTGATACCAAAACCAGATAAAGACACTACAAATAAAGAAAACTACAGGCCAGTATCCATGATGAACACAGTTGCAAAATTTCTCAACAAAAGATGGGTGCCTGGGTGGCTCAGTCGGTTGAGCACCCAGCTTTTGGTTTTGGCTCAGGTCATGATCTCAGGATCATGGGACTGAGCCCTGTCTCGGGCTCTGTATTCAATGGGGAGTCTGCTGGAGATTCTCTCTCTCCCTCTGCCCACTCATGCCCTCTCTTTCTCTTTTCTTCTCTCTCTCTCTAAAATAAACAAATCTTTAAAAAATTCTCACCAAAAGATTAGGAAACCAAATTCAACAATATAATAAAGATTTATCATAATCAAGAGAGATTTATTCTGGGGATGCATGAATGATTCAATATTTGCAAATCAATCAGCATGATACACCACATTAACAAAATGAAGGATAAAAATCATATGATCATCTCAATAGATGCAGAACAAGCATTTGACAAAATTCAACATCCCTTCATGATAAAAACTCTCAACAAAGTGAACTGAGAGAGACCATACTTCAACATATTAAAGGCCATATATTACAATCCCACAGTTAACATCATACTCAATGAGGAAAAACCAAGAGCTTTTCCTCTTGATCAGCATCAAACAAGGATGTCTACTCTTATCACTTTCTATTCAACATAATAATGGAAGTCCTAGACACAGCAATTAGGAAAGAAAAAGAAATAAAAGGCATCCAAGTTGGTAAGGAAGAATTTAAACTGTCACTATTTTCAGATGACATGATATACATAGAGCCTAAAGACTACCAAAAAACTACTAAAACTGATAAATGAATTCAGTAGGATTGCAGAATACAAAATTAATATACAAAAATTTTTTGCATTTCTATATACTGATAACAAAGTAGCAGAATCAAAATTAAGCAGACAATTCCATTTACAATTACATAAAATGGAATAAAATACCTAGAAATAAACTTAACCAGAAAGGTGCAAGACCTGTACTCTGAAAACTATAAAACATTAATGAAGAAGATTGAAGGTAACATAAACAAATGGAAAGATATACCATGTTAATGGACTGGAAGAATTAAGATCACTAAAATGTCCATACTACCCAAAGCAATCTACAGATTCAATGCAGTCCTATCAAAAAAACCAACAGTATTTTTCACAGAACTAGGGCAAAAATACTAAAATTTCTATGGAACCACAGAAGACCTTTAATAGCAAAAGCAGTTTTATGAAAGAACAAAACTGGAGGTATCACAATACTAAATTCAAGATATACTATAAAGCTACAGTAGTCAAAACAGTATGCAGTGGCACAGAAATAGACATATAGATCAATGCAACAGGACAGAGAATCCAGAAATAAACCCACACTCACAAGGTCAATCTACGACAAAGGAGGCAAGAACACACAATGGAGAAAAGACAGTCTCTTCAATAAATGGTGTTGGGAAAACTGGACAGCTACATGCAAAAGAATGAAACTGGACCACTTTCTTAACTCACACACAAAAAGTAAAATCAAAATGCACTAATGGGAGGGACGGGGTGGCTGGGTGATAGACATTGGGGAGGGTATGTGCTATGGTGAGCACTGTGAATTGTGCAAGACTGCTGAATCACAGATCTGTACCTCTGAAACAAATAATACAATATATGTTAAGAAAAAAAAACAAGATGATAGCAGGAGGGGAAGAATGAAGGGCGGAAAATCAGAGGGAGAGATAACCATGAGAGACCATGGACTCTGAAAAACAAACTGAGGGTTCTAGAGGGGAGGGGGGTGGGAGGATGGGTTAGCCTGGTGATGGGTATTAAAGAGGGCACGTTCTGTATGGAGCACTGGGTGTTACACACAAACAATGAATCATGGAACGCTACATCAAAAACTAATGATGTAATGTATGGTGATTAACATAATAAAAAAATTTTTTAAAAAAATAAGAGGGACTCAAAAAAAAAAAAATGCACTAAAGACCCAAACATGTGACTTGGAACCATAAAACTCCTAAAAGAAAACATAGGCAGTAATCTCTTTAGACATTGGCCTTAGCAACAATTTTTTAGATATGTTTTCTCAGGCAAGGGAAACAAAAGCAAAAATAAACTATTGAGACTACACCAAAGTAAAAAGCTTTTGCACAGTGAAGAAAACCATCAACAAAATGGAAAGGCAACCCAGTAAATGGGAAAAGATATTTGCAAATGATATATCTGATAAGGACTTAATAGGCAAAATATGTAAAGAACTTACACAACTCAACACCAAAAAACCCCCAAAAATTTGACTAAAAAATGAATGGCCAAAGAACCTGAAAGACATTTTTCCAACAAAGACATACAGATGGCCAACCAGACACATGAAAAGACGCTCAACATCACTAATCATCAGAGAAATGTCAGAACCACAATGAGCTATCACCTCACACCAACGAGAATCGCTAGCAACAAAAAGACAAGAAATAATGACTGTTGATAAGGATGTGGAGAAAAGGGAATCCTTATGCACTGATGGTAGGGAATGTTAAGTTGGTGTGAACACTGTGGAAACAGTATGGAGGTTCCACAAAAAAATTAAAAACAAATACCATATGACCCAAAAATTCTACTACTGGGTATTTACCCAAAGAATACAAAAATGCTAATTCAAAAAGATACCCCTATGATGTTTACTGCAGCATTATTTACAATACTAGCCAAGATATGGAAGCAAACTAAATGCCCATTGACAAATGGATAAAGAAAATTTTATATATATATATATATATAATGGAATAGTAGCCATAAAAAATGAGATCTTACCATTTGTGACAACATGGATGGACCTAGAAAATATTATGCTAAATGAAATAAGTCAAAGACATATACCATATAATTTCACTTATATGTGGAATCTTAAAAAAAAAAAAAAAAAACAAAGCAAATATACAAAGCAGAAAGAGACCTATAAATACAAAGAACAAATTGGTGGTTTCCAGGGGAGAGGTGGATGTGTGGAATGGGCAAAATGGGTAAAGGGAAGTGGAACATACAGTCTTCCAGTTATGGAATGGATAAGTCACGGGAATAAAAGGCACAGCATAGGGCGTACTGTCAATGATACTGTAATAACATTGTGTGTATGATGACACATGGTAGTCAGCACTTGTGGTGAGCACAGCACAATGTATAGACTTGTTGAATCACTATGCTAGACACCTGAAGCTACTATAACCGTGTATGTCATATATAATTAAATAAAAAAGAAGATACAAACTTACACTTATAAATAAATCCTGGGGATGTAATGTACACCATGGTGACTACAATTACCAATACTGTAGTAAATATTTGGAAGTTGCTAGGAGAATAGATTTTAAAAGTTCTCATCATAAACAGAAAAAACTTTTGTAACTATGCGGGGTTATGGATGTCAACTAAACTTATTTTGGTGATCATTTATCAATATATACATATATAACATTTTTTGTATACCTTGAACTAATACAATTAAATGTTAATAATATCTCAATAAATGGAAAAAAAAAAACTCTATCCTAACCATTGAATCCAGAACTCACATCCATTAGGACCAGCTTGTTCATTATGTTGATCATACTTATGCTATGCTTGCATATTTAGATCTACTTAAGAGAAGGATGTAATATACCTAGACAAACCTCTGGCAAGACAAACCAAGAGAAGGAGAGAGAGAGAGAAAAAAAAAATCAATATTATGAATGTAATGGGGGATATAACTAAGTGGTAACAAAATTATATGCTAACCATTTTGAAAACTGAGACAACGTGGAGGAGTTTCTTGAGAAAAATATGTATACCTTATGAGACGTGACTGAAGAAAAAATTAAAATCTTGAATAGTCCTGGGACTAGGCAGTGGTTAAAAAATCTTCCCCCAAAGGTGAGGTTAGATAATAAGAATAATTTTAAGGATATATTTTTCTGAAGATCAAGAGATAAATCAGGCCTAATACATGCCAATACATTATCAGAGAGCACGTAAAACAGAGAAACAACTATGGTAACAATTGTAAAAGATAAAATAAGACGACCTTGAATATGTATATCAACAAAAGCTATTACTGTTCTAAAAAGCTCAGCTGGCAACTTGCCTCACCTGGGCTGTTCACTGGCTGATGGGCCAGACCTGTTGTTTGGGGGCAGAGGCTCTCTCCATCAGACTAATCATCAACCACTACTGCTCACAACTTCTGCCAGGAAGGACTAACACCTTTGTAGGTGGGATTTATTGGAATGAACAAATTGCGATACAGAAAATAAAGCATTTGAGTGGAAAGGAGGCATTTGTAAAGTTTTGGGAGCATGATAGTACTATCCCACTTACCCATTTCCAGGATATTATTATACATATTTTGAAAGCTCACCCCCATCTTTATTTTCACTAGGGCTCCATCATTCCTTAGGCATCATTTTTAGGAAGCAGGATGAAGTTTAGTGGCAAAACTAGATGCACAAAGTTAGCTCAAACCTCTTTCTACGTGTACATATCTCTTCCTTCAGTAGCAGCACTGCAAGTAACCTCACTGAGCCAAACAAACTTCAAAGGAACTTCAACCACTCACCTGGATACAAGCCAGAGGCTCATTTGTCCAAATCGAATATCCACCAACTAAATATATTCTCTCATTATGGACAGCAACTCCAGATTCATTTTGGCCTAAAGTAAAGAGAATTGAATAGAAAGAAAAAATAAATCCATTTCCTTGCATGTCTTAATTAACCCTTTTTGCCACTGAGCGATACAATTTCCCCCCTGTGGCACTCTTGTATGCTCCACAGGATTTTTGCAGCAACTAATCACCGCCTCCCAGTACTCAGAGGGAAGAATTAACCACTCTTTCACAGAGAATGAATCTGTCAGGTCAGAACCAAGCCAAAACACTTATTCGCCAGCCAAGTGGGTAAATACGGCATTAAATACAGCAATAATAAGCAATAACAAAATAAGTTCTATTACTACGTCGTATTACAGCAGTGGAAACAAGATGTATTTTCAAAATGCAAAACACCTTTATAAATGCTTTTAAAGCAAGTGCTTACATTTGTAAGGTAACAGCTGCAGCCCCAAGAAGCCAATAAAACAGAGCCATGCCCCGAGTGTCCCCCAAATGAAGACAAATGACAGAAAAGACTGATAAAGTTACTACCCTCTCTTTCTTGACATACAAAACAGTTTTAGGACTATATTAAAGTTCCCGATCTGGGACCAGATACTGACACGCCAAAATGATGAAAGCTTCCTCTCCCATTTTAAAAAAAGAAGACAGAATAACTCACTACCACCTAATCTTCCCTGGAGGCCATCAGAGAGTGAGAGAGTCTCTCTTTATTGATGGGCTGACACCGGATTGACTGTGGTAATAAATAAGTTGGATCCTACAGTGGCCAGAATCACAGATCCAGGGACCAAGGGGCTAAGGTGCCACTACAGCAACTCGGAGAGGGTTAAGTACTTGTAGGTGGGCCTCAAAGATCATGTTCACAAAAACAGGAGCTCCACACAAGGCATCTAACCCCCTCACACTGGTTCCGCACTTACTGTTGCCTCCCCAGCAGCAGCTGTGAGAGGTGGAGTGCCCCCTCAGCATATTAAGAGGTCTTCAGGGGCTAGTCCAACCCACCATTTTGAGTTTGTGATTTTCTTATTTAGTAGAGCAGCCTGGAAGGGACCTGATAGCCTGTGCATGTTTATAATGCAAGCTGACAAGGGAGAGAAAGGTTTCAAGTCTGTAAAGAAACGTTAGTGGTAAGTTGTTCACTGCTTTCCTTTTATTATCTTTTGGGATGAGGAGGGTCCATACCTAGTGTTGCCCTGGGTAATGCTTGAACCCCTATGTGGCTAGAAACACCACCAAACCCTTGTGCACAGAACTCCAAGATTTAGCTGGAGACTACAGCCAGAAACTGTACCTGACAGTAACAAATAATGAAGACCAGACTGCTGACCTCAAAATAAATAAGACTAAAAGCAAAAAGAAAAAAAATAAATTGCTTCTGTAAAGCGTTAATTCTCCGGTTCTTAATTGCCTCAGAGTTCCTATGTGAATATTTATTGACAAAGGATTTGACATACCTCTCTCAGCCAAGACGCATGAAGGTAACAGAGGCCCTGAGAAACTAGCTCAGCCACTTGACTGAGTCATGTTTTGTGAGATAAATAATGTGTACCTTTCTGGTTAATAAACACAAGTTGTTCTGCCATGATGCACTTGATATTTAGGGATGCACCGAAGAGGTATAAGAAAACAAGTGTGGCATTTTCTTGAATCTCTGCTTTTCCTGATTTACTTAGTCAAAGGTACTTGCCAGTCAACAGGCTGAAATTACAACGCGTCCACTGGTCTGTGTCTATGTTATAAGAATCTATATGGCGCACAAGGATCCGGTCGTTATTGTAGTCCAAGTCGTTCCCTCCAAGAACATAAAGCTTTCTTTGAACAGCAGCCATGGAATGGTAGACCCTTCTCTGCAGCATGGGACTGCGGCTTATCCATTTATTCTGGGAAAAAAAAAAAAATTCAGGTGGATTCTGTTAATAAGAGACTCCACAGCAGAAAACAGCAGTGCCCCATTAGTAGCTGGGACTGCTTTATCTATCACATTCCACTGGAGTGCTGCTTACATACTCTGAAAGGTATGCGCTTCCTACCTGAGAACAAGTAGATAAGAACCATGTATGCCAAAACTTTATTTTGCAATATACAAAGCCATTTCCTCTTGTTTGGGTTGCATTTTATAGGGCATTTGCATTTTATAAGGGGAGCACATGAGAATATAGAAATTTTCATGATGGTTCTCTCCCCCAGTTGAGAGAACTTACTCATGTAAATTGCTTAAGAGTGAAAGCACATGGCTAGGTATAATGATTTAAGAAAACAGGCTCTGGATCCAGAATGCCTGAGTTTATAGCCTCTTTGTGACCTTGAGCAATGTACTTAACCTCTCTGCGCCTATTTCCTCACCTGTAAAGTGGGGAGAGTCATACTGTACCTGACAAGCTTGTTGTGAAGATTAAATTAGTTAGTACAAAACATCTAGAAGAGTGCCACATAATGTCCAATAAATGTACACTTTCAAAAATTATTCTGATAGTAATCACTGTCTTACCCAAGGCCTCTACATAAACTAGGGCTAGGGTGACTCAGCCATTCTTTCCAAACTTAACCTCCCAAGATCAATGGAAGAGCAAAGATCTGGTTTCACAACAAAGTCCCATTGCTGCCTTTGTATTAGCCCCTTTTAACATATTTATAATCATATCGTCTACCAAACTGGGAAAAGTTATTTCTAGGCACACATTTATTCTGATAGAAGGCCAAATTTTATACAACTTCAGGAATGGTGAAACCTCGACTATTTGGTTCTAGGTCACTCTCAGTAATGAAAAAGACATGCTCAACTCCTCTTCAATATGGCTCCTTTCAAAAATCTAATGTAAAAGGCAAAATTAGATGAATATCAAATATGACCTTAATTTTAAATCTTAACTGAGCAATGGACAGGTAAATAAACCTAACCATTTCCTTTGCACATAAACACTAACCTACAGGAAGAACCCAGATTCCTTTTGCCAAGAAAAATTTGGATTTTGATAGAAAGATTATATGATGTCTTTAATACATAGAATTTCACCAGTTCACAAAGCTGTAAAGGAATAAACAAAAGAAAAAGAAAGTTTATATAAATATTGGTCAATTCACTAAAGGCCTATCTACTAGCTCATTTCTAATTTCTTTTTATTTTTTATTATGTTAATCACCATACATCATTAGTTTTTGATGTAGTGTTCCATGATTCATTGTTTGTGTATAATTTCTTTTTTAAAGACAGACTTAAAAAAAGTGGTTTGTACAGTTTGAAAGGCTTGCATTTATCTGCTCCCCCTTTGTGTCATAAGACTCTTTCCAATCAAATGTCTTCTTTTAATAAGATAGCCAAACCTTTCTTTCAGATATTCTGTGAAGAAATATCATCAATACATTTCACATGAGTGGATTTAACTCAAAACTCTGATGATGCCTTCCTTAGGTGCTTTCTATGAGGCAACTCATTCCGGTATTAGGAATCAACGTTTGCATTAGCAGTCCGGTCCCCCGCCACAGGACTGTGGATGCCATCTGGTTTGTAAAGCCTGCCTGCATCCCCTGATTATATCTTTAGCTTCCTTCACTGCCGTGCCTGCCAGGTGAGCCGCCAACCACTGCAAAGGCAAAGAAACAGAGAGGCCTAGTGGGGTCATTCCTAATAAGCTAGCGTGTGAATACTAATCAGTGGTGGGGAAGCAGAGGTCACCCCAGCCTGCCTGTTGGCAGGTAGCGATGTGCTCTGTGGCAGATGGCAGGCATTATCGACTCTCCGCAAAGGCCTAGAAGAAAAATAAGCACCAGGGCTGAATGATAGAGTTATTGAGATTCTGAGCAAGATGCAAGCAGATGTGATGTTTGCCAGTACCAACCGTAAACAATATGCCAGCAGAATTTTTAAAAAGAGCATGTGTGTACAAACATGAAACAGAACTCATTTGAGAAATGTTAACACCTTCTTCCTCTTTAACCACGTGTGCACCGAACTCAAGCAACTGCAATTAATGATCCCTCTTGAGACATCTGGCCATGGACATGTGGTCTCTGAAATGTACAGCTTCTAAAGACATCAGGAAACACACTTGCAAAGAGAGAAACACCTTTGTTAAATTCAGAATCAAATAATGTTGAAATAAAAAGACACCAAATCGACTGAGGTCATTCAGGACACACATTTCGTGGCCGATCCTAACCCAGGCTGCCAAAGCCAACCTGTTGTTTCATGTTCCATTATCTCCAGCTGATGAATATTAAATCCCCAGATCAAATCATTTTGGGATACTGTCATAATCATGAAAAATATTTACATTACCCAAATCATAGAAATGGTGAAATCCTGAACACATGTGCCAAGGCCACAGACATTTTGGTAGAAGGAAAAGAGAATAAAAATTGTTCCTTTGGGGACCAAAACCTCATCGAGTGTGGATGGCAAGTGGGCAGAAGAAGGGACAGACACCATCAAAATGCTTCCAGTTCAGGCACCAGCTGTTAGATGGAAAACATCCTTCTACTTTTCAGATACTTCTATTTCAGACTTGTCCTTGACCCTGCTCTCAGACCTTTTGGCTACGCTGAGTTAAATAAAAGTTATTATTTTATTTGGGAGTAATGAAACAATAAGCTTGTTCCCCTCTTGGAATGAGGCGCCTTCTAAAAGGACATACAACAGGTCAATCAAAATCCTTTCTTTGGATGCCTCTGAATATGAATAGCCATTTGAGATAATGGAAATAAAGGGCATTTAACCCATCAAGTATCTCCCCTTTTTTCTACATTACGCAAAACTCTGAAAGAGTTAAGCATCCTGTATCATATAAAACTAAAGGAGCTGCAATTTTGTGAGAGGAGAAAAGAAAAAAAAAAAGCAGTTTATCCAGATGCTTCCTTTTCTCTCTACAAGATGCATGTGTGTGTACAGACTTGGCATTTCAACTACTAATTACTGTGGAAATCTTTTAAAATTCATTTTAATTAAGGTAATGAGTTTTTCTTATATGATTCTTACCTGGTTAGGTTCATATACCATTAGTCTGTTCTGATATTGTGCTGTGTTAGTTACTCCACCTGTAATGGATTAACATGTGTTAGCGCTTTCATGAATACGAAATAGGATATTCCAACATAAGAATGAGATACAATTAAAGGAAAATTAGCTACTGCTGAGGATCTGTTTGTATACCCTCGTGGTGAACCCATGACATAATTAAGAAGCTTATTGTTGAAGCAGTTTCATTTTCAAGAAACATTTCAGAAGCAATCCAGTTGAGAGCAAGCAACAAGTGTGCTGAAATTAGCAAGAGGCCCCAGTTCTGGCAAGCTGCTCTGCATGGCCAGAATGAGGGGCGATGTATGGCAGGAAGTGGGAATGAACACCGCACACATAGACAAATCTCCACGCAATTCATGCCCGGGACAGAATTATATGGAAAATTCTTGTCCTTAGCTAACCTGGCAATTTTACAGCTCTAACCTTCTGCACGCCAACACAGTGATATCTTGATATCTCTTGGGAGGACCATTTCTAAGAAAAGACCTGATTTATCAAAAGAAACCTAGAGCCAGAGCCGTCCAAAAGAATATAACGAGAGCCCCCAATGTGAGTCACATATGCAATTTTAAGTTTTCCAGTAGCCACATTAAAAACTAAAAAGAAACAGTGAAGGTAAACTTAATGTAGATTTTATTTAACTCAACATAGCCCAAATATTATCATTTCAATGTGAAATTAATATAAAAATTATGGAGGTATTTTATATTCCTTTTTTCATATGGTTTTCAAAATCCAATGTATATTTGATACAGCACATCTCAATCCAGATGAGCCACATTTCAAGTGCCCAATAAACCACATGTGACTGAGAGTGACCATGTTGGATGGCACTGCATGCAGTCGATGTTGTTATCAACTTTTCTAAAGCCTCCTGACAGCTGCTTAGATCCAAAGATTGCTTAATCAAGAACCACTAAAAAATCATCACATTTCTAACAAAGTCTTCCTGTCTGTCCTCATACTTATTTTCACGTTCGTGGTATAGACTAGGTCTGTAAAACCCAGAAATTACTGATTCTACTTTAATTTTTACCATCAAATGGGAGAACTAAAAAACATATAAAACAGCATTACAGAAAACACTAGGAGATATTAAATGTTAGGTAATAAGATAACAAGAATATAAGAGCAACCCCCCGAAAAATCTCTTTAGAAATAGTGCCTTATACATAGTTCTAGATGCTCATTTAAAATGAGTAACATTTTAATAAGTATCACAAAGAAGTAGCTAATTTTGCAATAAAGATCTAAAACTGAGCCAGACTAAAAGTGTTTCCTGTTGAAATTTTTTGAATTCACAAAGTGTGTACTGTTACAATACCGCCTTAACATTTTTCTCAGTTTGACTCAACTTTAGGCAGGCCTCTTTCTGTCTCTAGGCCCCTGACATCCCTTTTCTTAGAGCATTTACTTTAGAAAATCTGTAAATTCTTTCTCTGCCTCCTTGAGATAGAAATCATTTAAGAAGCTTCTTTCAAGTTTTACAACCCAGGAATAACTTCCTCAAAGACCCAGGAGCCATCCCATTGAAATGTAATCATCAGGGAAGATAATGTCACTATCTCCCAGTTTCTATGGAAGAGAGTAGAAACCTCACTTTGTTGGGTACCAAACAGCAAATACACATGGCCTAATCACAGAGAAAAACATTTACAAATTCAGGGGTAACTGAATGTGCTCAATACATCACATTGATCAACCTTCCTCCAAAACTCCTTCAGTACTTTTCTCGCTGAGAAAAGCTCAATGTTTAAAAACCCTCCTGCTTCTTCTTCTTCAGAGTAGTTGATTTCAGACTGCCTTCTGGTCTCCCTCCCCTACTGCAATAGTCTTGAACAAAGTCTTCCTTATCTGCTTAACTTTGTCCAGTATAATTTTTGCTTTGACACTTCCAATACTTTGAATAGGTCACCACCATCAACTCCGTGGCCAGGAAGCAAGTCAACAAGAATCCAGAGGATTCCTGCACAATCCTTAACTGAGCTGAATAATCAATCAATACTGATGGCTACATAAAGGGAAGTAAGTCTGTCCAGGCCAATCATTACTCTCTCGTGCAACCCCAATAAGGAGATTATTTCGTTCATATAATTGACTATGGCTTTTATTAACTGGAGGGCTTTATATATATATTCTCTCTGAAGCCTGCAACTACTTTTAAGATCAATGAAAGCTTTATCTGCAGAGTAAATCCACAAAGAACAGAGAGAATCGAGCTTCCTGCCCTCAAAGAAAGTCTTCTCTGCATTTCTTTTGAATGTCTCATTTTAAAATAAAAGCAAAGGAAAAGAAAATACACTGAAGCAAGCTGAGGCTGAAATGCCTATATAGAGTCAAAATGTATGCCTAAATAAACAAAGGTTTGTTTGCTTCTTCCTCCCAACCTTCCTTTTCTTTTATCTGATCAAAAATTGAATGTCCAATCATTCTTTCTCGGCATAACTACACAAGAATAATCAAATCTATTGAGACCTCACAAGTCTTCAGGGTTAAAATGATTGCCAAGTGCTTTTGATCTGGTCCATAAGCACCAGATTAACGTCCAGCTCGCCTATAATCATTTCTCCAAATGAGAGGGAGCAGAGGGTAAAGCTCCCACCCATTATTTCAAAGCTTCGACAGTTTCTCTCCTTGTTTTAGAAATATGGGACAGAATTAATATCTACTGCAGTAAACTATCTGTTTATGACACTATTTGAAAATATTACACTACTATATGTATCAGACTCTGCCCATTATAGATTAAATGTACAACCAATGGATTAGAATATAGCTATTACATCCTCTCTCTTAGGCAGGGCGTACAATTTATCTCTGTGCTCTTCAGAATTATTATTTACTCTCTTCTACAGATGCATTTGTAATAGATTCCCCCACCCCTTAATCTGCACGCCATAATTAGATTCCTTACCCTTACACACAAATTTTCACTCACATGACAACGTTTAAAAATGAGATACTGGGTTAGTAGGTGGAAGTAAAAATAAAAATCCTAGTTATTTGGTTGATTACTTCTGGAATGTTAAACCACAGGAGGTGCCTGAAAAACCTAGTGCTGTAACTTTCAACAAGTCAGGATTGCAAGGGAAAAACCTTAGAAATTGGTTCTCTTGCTTCCCCCCTTTGAAATAATTTACAAACGATCATATAAATAAAAACCATTTGTTCTCAGTACAAAAAAATAAATTTTAAAAAAGCATCCAAGTTTGCGGCCCACATTTCTTTAGCAGTGTTATTTGCAGAGCTTTATCATTACATTCTCTTCACATAACACTCTTCACTTTTAGATTAATCTGCTGAAATGAGATGCTAAGGATTTGCATACAGATTTGACTATACAAAAATAGATATGGAATTAATAACAGTCTCTATATGTTTTAATTTCTCCTAGACTGGAGTGCCCTTGCCTGCAGCAGTATTCCTGGCTTTGAAAGTCATCAAGCTGATTTGCCTGCTCTGGGTTATGATGCCCACATGCTGCTACACTGTCCCCTGCAATCAAAGCACTTGCAAAGATAGATTCTATGCCTCCCTCTATCGAGTACATTTTATAGACTGGCAGTTTTGATCTCCCTCCCCCACCCCAGGGGGGATAATCTGCATCTTAACAGCTTTCTATAGATACATTTGTCATTAAATATGCCATCTCCTATCAGCATCCATTTTTAAAGCCAAGTTTTCCCTAACTTTAAGTGCCACCGTGGAAGTTAAGACTTTTCAGCCAAAATTGAAAATGAACAACACTGTCTTATACTTTTGAACTGTGACTTTAAGATATACTGCAGGTTCCCCCAAAGTCAAATAAGTCTTTAAAAACTGCCAGAAGGAATGAAAAGTTACCACCATGCTACCAGCAATGAGAAATGCTTTCTATCATCCAGACAAGAGTAAAGCATTTTTCTTAAGCTTCCCTGTACCGCTCTTCACAAAACGTAGTGACAAATGGTTGAATGCATATGGGAGAAAGGATGACAGGTGACTGCCAAACAAGCAACTTTTGTCTCCAGTATAGGAATTCACTGACTCCCAAACTCATTGTGCTCAAAAGCAACCACTGGTCAATGCTGACAAGGTCTATATAATAGTGTGTTTAGGAAAACAGCTCTCAATATCCATTGGTCAGGGTAGGTCAAGTCTGGTGGCTCTATTTTTTTTTTTCGAGGACAGACAATACATCTGTTGATAGACAGTCCTATACTACACTCTTCAGTAGAAACCTGTGTATGTAATACAGCACTAGTATGCTTTGAAGGATGGAGCGGGATGCAAAGAACCAAATGTGTCCATGCTCTCAGGGAAGACACTCTGGGCTGGAACTCTGCCAGCCAATTCAGGATTGTGGGAAGCCATCTCACGTTCTCAGCAGCTCTCCTGGAGGCCTGCAGTGGCCAACTGTATGCTAGGCTCAGGGACGAGCTTCAGGACAGGCTGCGGCATCACCCCGCACAGGCTCCTTTACGACTCTGTCCTTGTGGGAGCATTTAACACAGCCCTGCTCAGGTTCCTTATAAACAAACTAGAGATGACAGCATCTCTCTTCCAGGTTTTAGAAAACCTAGAGTGCAGAGCATTAGAAGTGACCCCCCCCCCCACAGAGGAAGTTTACTACAGTACTGTACTAGTTTATCTATGGAAATTTTTTACCATTTCCATAAAAAGTACAAATGAGCATGCATGGAATATTAAAATATAACAAATCTAACAAAGTATAGAATTTTGAATTAATAAGTGAATGAATTTTGTAGTCTGAAATAGATTTCTTATTTTTTTCTAATAACTAGAATTACTGGCTGGTTTATAAGGTATCGAAGGCTTTTTTCTTTAATAGTTTAAAGCTTCTCCTCCATAAGAATGCTCTAATTCTCAAAAAACTAAAACTTCACACTTACTGTCTAATTATCAAAAGAATTATTGGCATTAGGTGTGAGTCCACACTAGTCATTTTTTTTTAAAGATTTTATTTACCTATTTGACAGAGACACAGCGAGAGAGGGAACACAAGCAGGGGGAGTGG